AGAAGCTACAAGCTCAAGCTAATGGTTTTAAATTTATTGAAGTTATATGCCTCGTAATTTGTACACTCTCTGGTGATGACCACTGCAGCAAATTATTACAGATAAGTACACTGAATTTATCTAGTGTTTGTAATGGCCCACCATGGCAATCTATTTCTATATATTCTCCAGGACTTTTCAAAAAGGTGGCTGATGAGCTATACCATTATTCATCCTGCTTCTTCACCCACTTCATCACTTTGCCCAAAACAATGATTTATGTTCTTTGGGACTGGAAGTCATTTTCTGTTGTGATTCAAGGGACACTTTTAGGGAGGCTACCGAGTGCTTGACCTTTATGTAACTCTATACAAATAGAAATAATACCTAACAAATAAGGTCTGCCAAGCATTTCAGCTGTTTTGCAACAGGCTAGTGTTTCTTGCTTATTTTGTCCAAAGCATTTCCACAGAGGAGGAAGCTGAAACCTGCCTTTATCTTCTGTTTCTTCATTCTCCCACATTCACAAGTACACCTTGAAGGAGTTCACATGTCATTTATCCCAAACCAGTCCATCTCTCTGAAACACTTGAAAACATTAAAATGCTACTCCTAAAAGCAATTGTACAGCTAGTTTCTTGAGCAAACCACTACGTTGTGGTTTGTTGTTTTTTTTAATTCTACCACTAAAAGAGCTCAGAGAATGAAGATACAGAGCTCTGGTTTTAACGATAGTCTTGTTTTTACCAGCTCATTTCTCTTTATCCATTTTAATATCTTTACAAAAATATGCCATAATGTCTTGGCACGTTCCCCAATGTTCTGCAGTTTTAATATGACTTTATTAGTGATAGTGCTCATACTTTGCTCTATTACCTCAGTCATTAAATTCACCAAATAAAACGTGAAACAACTGAGGTTCATCTCAACTGCTTCGGTTTTATTGAAGATTTCCTAAACAATTTTTCCTCCTCTCTCTTTCTGGAAAGGAATATAACTTCTTATAATAACTGTTTCTCTTTGTTGTGTTGATTTTGGTGTATCTCATGCACATGTGCGTGATCTTCCTGGAATCTGTTAAACCTGAGGGAATACCAACACACCAGGTTCCTCAACTTCAGCGTGACTTTCTGCTGCATCATAGCCCCAATTTCCTTTGCACTAAGAGACTGACTAAAATTAACACAAACTACATGACCTTAGTATATGCACTCAGTACTTTCCCGGCAGTTGCTTGCTTTTACATAAACTAGCCTTTTAAGCGTCACTGGAGAGTTAGCTACACTAGACATTATATTATATGCTTTTAAACAATTAGGTACTTGTTTGATTGGTAGCAGTTGATATTTCATCCCCTTGTTTGCTTTTTTAAAAATCATGATTGAGTATTGTATGGGGGGGTCTGTAGCTATGTTCATGTTATATCATGAAAGTCACTCTGCACTCAGTTATACATTGCTTAGAATATTTAAAAGCAGAGTACTCAAAGTTTTGTTTCCGACAATACCCGGACACCGTTTTCCCCCACAGGACCTCAGACACAGCTCTCTTGAGGCCAGGGAGCATCTATTGACATCAATGGGCACTGGAACTAATCCTCAGATTCCCATTTCTGCAACACATTACTTGCAAACTGCCTTCAGAGAATACAGATACCAACAATTTGTTGTGGCGTACCAAACAGCAAAGGCTGCTGTTCAGGAGTGTGGAGGGCTCACAGAGCTGAAAGAACAAGTATCAACATTATTTGTTGATTCTGGCACACAGGTAGAAAGGAAGAACCTGACAACCCTGCGGTAGTGAGAAATGACTCTCCAGCATGGAATTCGTATGAAAACACTGTCTGGCACCCCATGTGCGTGGGAGGGCATTTCATGCTCCGTCAGGAATTTAATGCAGCAACAATGAAATCTACTGATAGAAAGGTGAGTGGGAATGGGTGAATACTGTAGAACTCAAGGAAAAACAGGTTTTATGTAGTTTTAGAAAGCATGATTTAAGAACCTTCCTATTTCTGTGTAATATAGCCCCTCTTTTTTCAAGCACAGTCAGTCTAAAAATAAGAAAATCTGTGCTATTATACTTGAAATAGAAGAAAACCCTCATCTTGTTAACAGCTGATATCAATATTCATACAGAATGTACACATTAAAAACATACTCATGGGGTTACCTGCTTCCCTGTTTCTTCACCTATTCTCTACTTAGGTGTTGCTACTTCAGCTTCACCTCTGATTCCCATCCACACCACATACACCCTTCTTTTTCTCTAATGACTGAGATCAAAGAGTCTCTGCAAAGTAGAGCACAAAGTTCAAGTCAAATTTTCATACGTTATGTCAAAGCATCTGGAAACAGCTCATTTACCCCTAGCTATTAAATGCAAGTTTCACCCTTACATCAAACATTTTGTAACCAGTATTTCACAAGGCTGTTAAAAGTCTTATGACTATATAGGCAGTGCACAGCTGCTACTTCTACCATGCACAGGGTTTTGCTGCCATTGTCTTTAAAGAGTTGAAAAAGATCAGAGTATTTCCAAAAAAATTACAGTTTCCATCACCAGGCCTCTCATCTGATTCTTCCCTTCAATCTTATTTGCTTGAAAGCACACTGTTCATTTACAATTGACACATTTCTCCTGTTCCCTCCACTAGCATGCTTAGTCATTTAAATCTGTCATATTAAGCAGAATATTCCATCATAAGATGACAAATTCAATAATCACTTCTTTATAAATTCAATTGAAGCATTTAGAAGTACGTGATATGTAAGGCTTATCGAGTCACCTCAGCTACAACTTATTTACATCTCACCACTAATAAGTACTTGCCAGCTTCTGAGATCTCAAGACAGCTTCCAGTACGTTCAAATGTGTTAGAGGCTGTAGATATTGCACACACTCATTCCATCACCTATTTGGTCAACAGTTTGGAAAACAGTTTTTCTAAACCATATTATTCTTTCTGTTTGTGCCTGTAATCATTTTAAGATCATTCATATTTTGTACACATTTAGGGAGAGCAGTTCAAAGAATTCTTTTAGAAACTGCACAATGACTTGGTTGCAGTAGCAGGAAAAATCTGCAGCACTGTTTTTTTGGCCTTTTCCATATATACTTCAATTCAAGAAGGCTAGAGATTTAGGACCATATTCGAGTTGTTATTCATAGGAAAAAAACAATGAAGGGGAAAGTTGAGAAGCAAAGAACAACTTGAAAAATATAAGCTTTCTTATTCTCACCGCTGCTACTAGCAATCAGTATTTCCAAATAAAGTAACTGCGTATCAGATATGCAGTTGAAATCCCATGCCACTTTACAGATATTCTCAGCTAACTGTACAAACAATATACTTAAAACCACAGAAATAACTCAGCATAAGGCTAGCTATACATTTTAATACAGTTGTAAATTTCCCCTCCACTTTCTTAATGGCCTCAAGCTCACCAACTGCTTTAGGAAGCTGAGTACATGTTCATTTGCAGAGGCTAGTAAAATACATAGATCAGCCTATGTAAATACAGCAGATTGCAACCTCCACCTGTGTGTGGCAAGCTTCCACACGAGCACGCAATGGAAACAGCTGAACAGCAGAGCCATTATGCACCTAAAAACATGCCCAATGCAGCTATTGCAAGGATTGCACACGCTTGTTCAATTTAGCATCTCCACCTCTGCACAAGCACATGTTATCATGCACATAGTTAGCCTCATTAAAGAATCCCACACACCAGTGTCTTTAAAATTTGTCACTGCATTTTTATCTGGTAGCTTTCCAAGAAAGGTGACAAAGGCCACTAAAGAGGCCAAGACTAGAGAAACCATTGCTTGTAAGCACTATCGCCATCGCTAAAGCTGAAATACCAGTACCAGGAATAATTAGTCTATTCGTGCTATACTGTGGCAACAAACACAGTAAAAGCTTTGTCTTAAATATGATTTATGAGGACAAAAGATGTTCAGCATAACTAAACAAGTGGAATTACCAGTTTTATCTAATTTATACTCAAAGGACTTAAAACCAGACAAAAGATTCAGAAAAATAATTAGATATTTTGGTTAACGGTAATCACTGAACCATTTCAAACAGTCATATTGCAGCCCTGATTCACGCTTGCACTCTTACATCATCTTTACCTCTATGTCTACTTATAAAAAGAGCAGTGCATAAAAATGAAATAGTAAAATTATAATCTCATTAAAAAAAGGAATAATGCTTGAAATATACTAAATTTGAATAAATAACTATTTTTGGTGCTACTTTAGGTAATTTTCAGACCTTTTCCTGTGAAATTAGGGTAATGATACCCTATGACTCAAAAGCAGAAACTGAAGTTGAACTGAACATATGCTGGCAATGACAGATCAAACAGATATGTAGGAGGTTGTGAACAATAGACTGGAAAAAGCCTTTATATATAGAATAACTAATCAGAGGCTTACAGAATATACTTCAGGCTGTGTAAATTAGAGCTATGGTGGGTTAATGTGACTGTTCTATCTGAGCTTTACAGCAGGTTAGAAAAAACAACAGATTTTAAAACTAATTGTAAAAAAAAAAAAAAATTTTCAAAGGGCAGATACATGAGTAAATTTTGAGCACTTGAGACTAATGAAACATGCTCTGTGCCATGTGGTCTTACAATGTATAAGCCCAGGGTTTCTGATTCCACACTATTTATGTCAAAAGTGATATCACCAGACAGCACTCGCCCACAGTTTGCCATCTTCACACATTTAGTTTACCTTTAACTCAGCATCTTTGAAGCTATTTTTTTTTTAACTTATCTATGCTTTTCACACCTTCAGAACTTTCCTACCAGGGATTTTTCCCTGCCCTTTATTAGCCCCTCCAATGTAAATCTATTTCTTCTGCTTTCTTAATTCTTTCCCACTGTTTTTTTACTAATGAACGCTTATCCTTTAGTCACAACTTCTACACTATATCTACCATGAAAGTCTTCTATACTCAAGTAGCAGAACACAGGTGTTATTCAGGATATAATTAAAAGGATCCTTACCTTTCCAAAATCTCTCACATCAAACAAATCAAATGCTTCAAAAAGTTCACTTTTCTTCATCCCAAATATTTCACAACATGCCGAAAGAAAAGTCCTTATATTCTTCAAGCAAAGAAACTAGGGGAAAGAAAACAAAAACACTAAGCATCAAATGTGTCAACTTGTGTGCTCACTTTGGTCACAAATACATTACAAAATTCACCAATACAATTATTTGCAAGTCCGCACTTCTACTATGCTGTGATCTTCCACTGGTTCTAATTCAGCCATAAAAGTTCCCTTCAGACTCAAAAGCATTAATCAAATTCTGAGTAGACAATTTGTGAACAGAAACTATTTTCTCTCTTTTTATGTAAACAAAGAGAAATGACAATATGCTACTAGATACAAATTGGTCTAAATACAGACTTACTTTTCGATTCTCTACAGACAGCATATAACGAAACAAATAAGGTTACCTTAATTAAAGTATATTAATATGAGAAAGTTATTCTTCATGTATACATCAAGTGTCTTCAGCTGTTAAGATAAAAGTCTAGTCTGAATGTTTAATGAAGACATGTGCACTGTTTTAACACACTAAAGACATTATGAATACATATTCTCTGTCTGGAACACGGGAGCAGATGAGATTTGCAATTGAGAAGTCATTTACAATTCATCTTGTGGAGATTTAAGATCCTCAAACCACCTTGATTTCTGTACTGAATTAAAGGCTATTTCTCTTGAAGTTATCCACATGCATCAATGATCATCTGAGTCTGGAAAAGAATAAAGCTTCTGCCACAATACTCTCCTTATAAGGCTTTTAATGCATTTTCTTGTAGAGTATTTTTTGAAAGACCTTACCGGTACAAAACACAGTAACTATCAATAGCATTGCAGTAATTAAAGAGGGATAGCTAAAAAGTGCAATATCCATTCTTGACAATGGTTAGCACCACAAGGTACTAGTACCTTACGAGGACATTAGCTCCATAAAGATGCTGTTGTAGAGTCTTACAATCCACTATGCAGTACAGTTCAAAAGCAAATACGGTATTTATAAGCAACAGTATTTCAAATGACCCAGCACTGTGCTTTGAATATGCATTTTAAAAGTACTGATACAGCAACTCAGTATTAAAACTGAGTTCCTAGAGTTCTCCATCTTATAGTGGATTCATAAGAATGAGGATCATTTACATTAGGACAGATTATAGAATTGCTATATGTTCCAACTTAATGTTGTTTATAAAAGCAGTATTTTTTGATATTAATACTGTCACAGCCATACCTCTCCTGAGTGCAAAGTAATAAATACCCAAATTGCTTACTCAGCCAAATATGTCAGTGCTTTACCTTCAGCATGACACAACAAAATACCAAATTCAACAGAGAGCCCTACTTCATGTCTTAGATAGAACTAACCAGCCAGACACAGAAAAAGCAGAGCTGATACATCAGATTTACAGCAAGGTTACACATGTGAAAGCACTGATTCAAGAAGAGAAGCTTCAAGAGCAGACAACTCTAGTAGATGGTTGTGGACATCAAGACAACAGCTGACAAACTCATCGCGAAGCATCACAAAAGCAATCCCTGCACAAGCCGAAGCTCCCAGGAAGGCATCTGTGACTGACAACTGCCACATCAAGTATAAGGGGCCACAGATTATGAGGTGGAGCTGTAGGCTCCACCATTCCCTCCACTCCGAATAGCCCCATCTGTACATGCTCCCAGCTCACATGGGGCAGCTGGTGCTGGGCTACATACTGGGCTGCTCGGAGACAATGCTGCATTTATGCTGGACTGCTTTTATGCATAGTGAAATTTGAAAAATGAGTCTAACTTGCTTAGTCAATATCACAAGCTTCTCTGGTTTTGCAAAGATTATAATTTTCAAGTCAAAATTACAAGGTTAGAAGGCTAAGAGATGTAAAACATATGTGCTTCTTCCACCATGACACTCACAGAAAGAACCAGAAAATGAGCTGGTTTGGGACCCCACAGCTTTAAAAACAAGATGGCACACAGAAAGTGATCATTGTTTTTCTGATATATGTTTTTCCCCAGGTTTTTTATTATTTTTCTTAAAAGCCATCAAGGGCCACTAGGTTCATCCAATGCAGAACACTGATTCAACTTGAATACCGATTTACTTCCTTATGTTGAAATTCTCACATCCACTGACAAATTTTTGCCTCACTGGAAAACTCAGCTGCCTTTTTAAAACCTAAGTTTTGAGTTTAGATTAGCTAGTGCTGAAGTCTGCCAGTGCAAAGAAAGCTTACAGCTGCATTAAGTTGTTTACCTCTAAAGAGAGCAATAAGTTAAGAGAGAGACAGATGTCATAGGCCTAAAATCTGGCCTAGATTTCCTACAGAGCATTTTAGTGAGTTGCATTTAGTTTCTTAATATAGCTACAAGAAAGATTTATCAGTGACTTCAAATTTGGTTGGAATTTTGTGACATCAGCCTTTTGTGTTTAAATTATCATTACTATGAATTATATGCAAATAGATGGGAGAGCATATTACAAGAAATTAAGTTTCCTTTAGCCCACATGTTTTAAAGGAAATGTTAAAAGTATCTACGCTGTAAGTAATGAATTAAATTCTTTGGAATATTCTAACAGAGACACCAAAGAAGAATCTAATTCCCCACGCCCTTTTTTTAAATACTCACTAATTCATTAAGTGGTAAAGTGCACTTTAACATGTATCATATATTAAACAGACTTGACATAATTATAATCTAATATTCAATAACCATATGACAACACAGCAGTTCCATTACATTTCTTGTAGGCTCTAGAAACCACAGACTAAGCATTTGTCAAATCTACCTGCACTTGATATGGGACCACATCATCAATAAGTATGTGCCAAATGGTGCCTTTAGCAGAATAGGCCTCCTGACAAAACAGTCTAACCCCCCTGCTAGTTCAAAGACTGCTTAGTGAGTTTAGCTGGGCATCTAATGATTCAGTATCCATCAATTTTCTCTTGCAAAATGAAAGGCTTATTACTAAACTATTAAGCTCACTGCAGTAGCTATAAGGATAAAACTGTGAGAGTACTAAAACCAAAAGGTGTTCATATTTATATGCACTCATTTTGCAATAAAATGTATGAGGAAAAAAAACAAAAGAAGTTTTAAGAAGAACTCATTATATGCTACTCATGTTTTGGAAAAGTTATTTGATTATACTACCCAGAAAACTTTCAGAAATATTTCCAAAACTTTATATTGCAATCATCTAAAGAAACAATCTTCCTCAATGAAAACAAAGATTTTTATCGCTGTGGTTATTGTACGAAGAAGTACAAATTAGTAAAAGAAACCTCCAAATTAAAAAAAGAGTGTACATCTAAAATCTAGGAAGTTCTATAAAAGACAACCATCCTTGCTGGCAATAAGAAAAAGGCACCATCAGTCTGCAGTCTCTCATTAGTAAGTACAGTCCTCAGGATATTTGGAAACCTACTACATGATTGCATTTCTTTTTCAAAAGCAAAACATTATACTTCGGCACACCACAAGGGAGATTGTTAAAGGCATAAAGAGCAGTTGGGTACCCAGTTCTCTTAGAGATGCAAGGAGAGCTAGACATCTCTCACTTGGTCTGATCTCCAAAAGTCTCCTCCACAGGAAATGTTGTCTTTCAGTACAAGAACTGGTTTCTTTTCATTAAAAGATAACATAACTTAAAAACAATCTTTTGAAAAAGTTAACGTTGCCTCTTTTTTTTTTTTTTTTTTTTATAAATTACATGGCTATATTAGGAGGCAGCAGTCCAGAATTCTTAATACGCAGATCAGTAAAAATACTGCAGTAGGGTAGTATATGCCATGAAGCTGAAAAAAGTTCACACTTTTAAAAGTAAAGGCTTATATCTGGCTTATCTCCAGGTACACCATGAGAGGAGAGCACACCTAGCATCCAGACACAGATTGATAATATCACAACCCATTGGGGTTCAGGACCCTGAGAACAATTTTCAGTATTAACATCTGTAGATTATCAAGACATTCCTAAAGCACCCTAATGTTTCACAGCACAAGTAGCCACACTACTACAAACCAATAATGTTGTCATTGTCAGGGCTACTGAAATGGTACTACTCTTGTGATAAAACACAGTTTTTATGGAACAGATTAGAGTTTTAGTGGCCTCTGGTCCATTCTGCACTAAATTTCATTTTTTAAGAGGCATTAACACAACATTTATTGAAGTGAAGAGCAAGTTTGCAGAGGAAAAAAAAGTCTACCACCTAAAAAAGTGGGTATGGTTTATATAACTGGAACTGTATTTGTCTGAACTTAAAAGCAGAAGAGAGTGGGCAAACCAAATTATACTAAAGCTACACAGAAAAAGCATGCTGTTTTCTACATTTGCCACTTCACACAAAAAGAGACATTTATTTGAGGCTTTTTCAACACAGTACATGGTTATGTGTGCTGACAAAAATGTATAGAAATATTTTACAAAGGATACTGAATAGAAATTACTAATTAGACACAAAAAGCACAGACAGGACTACAGCTGCCCACAGGGAAGAGGGATTTCTCTAACCAGGCCTCTAATGAAGTGAAAGATGAAATGCAAAAGAAAAAAGAAGAAAAAAAAAATCAATTTCATATATCCTCTATTCATATAACTTTAGCAGTATTTCTCAGAAAATACATTTTAGCACTGACGTACTTCAATGGAATAAAGGTCTGTTTAGTACAGACCATAATATTCAGTATCTAGATATACCTTTTGTACTACAAGCACTTTTAAGGGTGTTCAGAGACCAACACAAAGAGCTCTGAAGATCAAATTCTGCCGTGAGACATTTATATGAAATTCCAACATAGCAACACCAGTCAGGCGAGTGAAAACTGAAAGGCCAAGAAATAGCAAGTATTTAGGAAAGACTACTTTCAACTTACTTTTTTTTTTAATTACCAATAGTGGAAAAAACAGCTACTTGTATTTATTTCAACTTCTACCTCCTTTTTATTATGATGATTTAGTCACAAGCAAGGAAGAAAGCTTGGGTAGCTGGCAGTTTCCTTATACTTCTATCTGGATCAACAGATATTCTTACTGCATTTAGGACAAACTAGAGAACATACTGAAGCCTGAGC